ATAGAATAATGACCACAAAATCCAATTCATTACAAAAGAATTTTCAATGAATCTTGCTTACCTCGAGGATAAACAATGAGACGGCAATCCCGACTCCCAATCTGAAATCTCCTGCTCTTGATACAAAGACCTGTTATCTTCCTTTTCTTCAGAAGATCCTTCAACCTTGTAAAATTTTCAATCCTCCAAGTGAATTTCCCCATATGCCCATCAGCCTTCCTCGCTCCACTCCCAGTCCTCCCTGAAATTAACCCCCCATTCTTTGAGAAACTACTAAACTCCTTGATCACATGAAAGGAAGTACTAAATACTGCAGTATCATCCACCAAAAACCCTGCATCCAACCCAATAAAATCTGACATTTTCATGTAGTCATTCCACCCCAAACTAGTATTATCCCCACTCTTATTATCCGCTGCAAACCTCCCATACGAGTCTCTATGCATATGATTTGACCCCGGTTTCTGATTCAGGACTGACATTCTAAACAAACACCAACAACTCCTATCAGCTGAACTCGCTTTCTCAGTATCCTTACTCTCCAAACACATAGACAAATACTCCTGCCCGTTAACCGAGCTTTGATACACACTAATCCTCAAATTACACTCTCCAGCCGGGAAAACAGGGCTCATTATCTTCTGTGTCTTAATCATTTCCTTAAACAAACTAAAATTATGCACTTTCCAAGTGAATTTGCCACTCAAAACATCGGAAACGGGACCGGCAACAACCGAAGAGGAAATCATAGAAGACAATGAGGATTGAACATCGTTATTATCACGCGTGAAATTAACCGATTCGTTCAAGATTAAGATATCGGCGGTGATTAAAAGGGCGTCGTTGTTAAAGAGATAACCTAATTTGGAATCGAAAATAGTAGCAGATGGTGTGAAATCGCACCAACCGTGAGATTTCTTCTTGCTTGAGAAGCGATGCCATGAATCGCGATGAATGGTTTTGGAATCGTCGATTAGATTGACGATGGCTAAGCGGTAGCTAGCGAAACAGTCCCATTTCGACGACGACGTGCCCCGCGGGTCCATGATTTGGAGATATATGGATATGTAGCCCGGCAGAGCCTGGGAGTCCCCTTTCGGATACACCAACAAACGGCAATCGTAACCTCCTACCTCGAAGTACTTGCTCCACAGTGCCCTAGCTTTGGTTCTCGGAAGATTATAAACCGTCCATCTGCAAACCGCCGAGTACTCTCCCCGCCGATCGACAACTACGGTTTCCTGGGCCCCACCGCCACCGTCTCTTGACCCCAGCCCAGCTATGTCATCCACCGCCGTTATTGATGTCAAGTTTTTGCCATTGTTGTTGCTCTGCTGGTGGTGGTTTTCGGATACCGATGCTGAGGTGGCGGTCTGTGATTGGTCTTGTAAGCTAAGCGTAGAGGTACACGACGAGGAGACTGCCTCAGCTGAGCTTTGCTTCATTGCCCCACTCGCTCTCTCTCTCTCTCTTTTTCTTTCTCTTTTCTTCGGATTTTCTGGTTCTCTCCCCCTGAAGCTGCGGTTTTATTAATTTCCCTTTTTTTTTATCAGAAATTATTTTTTTGTAGTTTCTTTTTGTTCCCCTTTTTAGAGAGAGAAGAAAAGAGAAGCCGATGTATGTGGTGTTAGAAGGTGAGAGGAGGAGGCTTTTACACAATGAGAGCCGCACTATACTTAACCTGCACCTTCGTTGCCTTCCCTTGCGGATGCTGGTGATGATCTCGTGCAGCCGAGCGGGGCTTTTATGAGGTTTATCTCCGCCGTCCGTTGGGCGGACCATCTGTGGGCTCGGAATGTGTGCACGTGCGTATGTGCCCACAAATAATGGGGCCTATCCCCTAGGCACGTGACCGAGGTTGATGTACGTATTTCTGTCCCCGGAGTTCATTGGGCAACGTCAGCATTTGGAGAACTTCGGGACCCATCATCACATATACCTTCTCTCCATTTTGATTTTTGCGGTAGTGATTGACGACCGTCCATTGAATTTGATCACTATAAACGGCTGTGATTTTTTAAATCCAGTAGGGCGCTGGATTTTGTGTGATACAGATATTTGTGTGATATTTTATCTGGTTACCTCATTACATGAAAGAGCAATTCAAGGATTAGTAATAATAAAACAAGACAAGATATTGTTTGATTAAAAAATCTAAGATCAACTTAGGGTTTTATTACATCCACTCTATCCGGTGGAATGTCCGAGTAAAAAACATTGAATATCTAAATTTTAAACACTGAAATATATGTAAAATAAAACATTTAAAACAATTAAATTTGTTAATAAAATTGAGTGTTATAAAATATAAATTAAAAAGATAATTATTTTTTAATTTAAACCCTCATCATGTTGCTTAATAATATATATTTTTAAATAAAGTGTGCATTTTTATGTTAATTTATTAATTAAAAATTTTAAATTTTAAATTTTAAACATAAAAACAAATAAATAGATAAAATGAGTTGCTAGTATCACACGTACATTATACCATACATATTCGATATTTAATCAAAACCATATAATATATTAATTTATACTATTCTTTATTAATAGTGTAAAGTATAATATAATACCTATGGTGCATCGAATAATATTAAAAATTATAATTTTAAAAATAATTTGTTTATAATGATATTATTAAAAATTAAATACTTATTAATTTTATGATTATACAGTTTTTGTGGGATAAAGATATTTTATCTGCATTCCATCATTACATGGAATAGGGCTGAACAATTACTAATGGTCAAAAATGAAAAAAAAAATCATTAAAAATGAAAGGCAATAGCTTAACTTTATTACAGTCAATGCTATTTTACCTATTTACCCTATCTACTATAAGTCTTTTTAACCAATAAATTTTTTTTTTTGTAATATTACTGAGAATTAAATACTTTTTGGCTTTATGGTTGTATAATTTTATGATTTTCTATTAACTAGCAATAAAAACGTGATGATAATATGTATTTTGTAATTAGATATTTTATACTATCCAACCAATTAGGTTAAATATTTTTTTTATAATAAGTTTATAATTTTCTATTAACTAGCAATAAACACGGGATGATAATAGATATTTTATAATGAGATATTTTATACTATCCCTAAGATATTATATAACAATGTTAAGTAAGGTTTGCATAATAAAACTACTACTTATCATCGTTTTGATAAATACAATCTTTAATTTTTATTAATAATATCATATAAATTTATTTAATAATTATTATTTAGTTAACTTTAATTCATTAATTTAGTTTTTATTAAAAATATATATATAATTTGAATTTAAACTTATTTTTTAATTTAAATCCAAATTCTAATTTTGTTAGTGAATATTAATAATCGGATTTAGACATTGAGTATTAAATTTTAATTGATATCAAATAAAATATGAATAGGTAATTTAATTGAAATTAGTTTGCATTTAATGAATACTCCTGTTGCCATTTTTATAAACTACTATTAGATAGAGATTTTTTTTGAAAGAGCTATTATTAGATATATTAGTGAGCCATTAAGTCTTATGGTTTAAGATAAGAATAAAGCTTATTAAGCTGCCCATTGTGCTATGCAATAACCGTTACATTGAACACAACATGTACTATCTTTATTAATTTAGTCTCTTAATTTAATCAAATGGAATAAATTTGATTCCCATAAAAGAAAGTAGGTGGAATATCTAATTATAAAATAGTCTAATGTTTCCTACAATGGCTTTTTAAAATAAATATTTTGTTGGGAGGTTGAAGCCACGACCAAGATCTTCATTAGACTCACTAGTTTCCTTATGTAAGTAACATCTACTCCTTTCATTAAAATATTTTACCATAAAATTAATGCAATGTGATGTTTGATCTTATTTTAGCAGAAAAATATTAGATAATTTCGAAAAAAATATCTACATTTAATACACTGTTAATTGATTATATGTAAAACACTATCACTTTACCACAAATGTCACTTCCTAAATATTAAATTTTTTGAAAAATGCAATCAATTGTAACATTTATGACAAATTACTTTGTAATTTCCATATCGTATTATATTTATAAAAGATAATATATAAAAAATAATATGTAAATTTCATTAAATTTGAATAAATGTAAATGTACGATAAATTTAAAACTCATTGTACAATAGATGTTAATATTTAATCAATGCTTCTTGCATATATATATATATATATATATATAATCGGTTTCTTTTGTCAGAAGGATGGTATAAAGTTAAATAATCGACAAGAATAATTGATAAAACCCACTTAAAATGGCAATTTACAATCTTGTGAACTTGTTGCGTTATTGAGTTTGCAACTTAATGCATATCCACTCAAAAGCTTCTTAGACGACAATCGGTAACCAATTACATAGAGAAGGTTACAAGCCAAATAGATAAATAGTAACAGATTTATTTGTTAATATTTTTTTTATAAATTAAAATCCATGTTTTATAACTCAATAACTGGGATTAGTATTTCAATTGAAAAAATTGATTGAAATTAATTAAATTCAATTAATTTAATTTGATTTTAATCGGATACATGGGTCAATTATTTTGATTTTTTTTATTTTTAAAATTTATAATTTAACCTATAAAAAGTTGATAATTAATGATATATACTTTAAATATGTTATATATATAACATAACTATATCTAATACATAAGGTAAATAGTAATAAATATTATGAATATGTTATATAAATATAAATTACTGATTAAACTGATTAAAGGTAAATTAATTTTGATTACTGCAATTTTAGGATTTAGTTCAATTGATTTACTTAGTGTTAATGAAAATTCGGTTAATTCAGTTTTTAAAAATTTAAAACCGAATGTTCAGCTAATTCGTTAAAAAATATTATTTGTTTTTTCAAAATACAAAGATAAATAACAATTCGTTTACTTAATTTAATTTGTAAAAATACCAATTGGACGAAGGAGCCGCCACAAACCCCCAGCAGCACAGCGCAGGCATCAATTTGTAAGCATAAAAAAGCGACAGTCCCCACGTGTCAGCTCACAGAGTCGATAGATCTACGAAGCGTCTGTAAGCCCAAGTGTGAGACTCGAATTTTCCTTACCCAACGCCAACTCGGAGGCTGTGACTCAGGGCTACCTCCCCGATTCTTCCTCACTTCACCCAGCCCGCTCAGCGATTCATCGTAAGATCATCTATAATTTCAACTTACCGACAATTTTGAAGGTATTTTTTTCTTAGCTTAAATTCTATCTTTTTGACTTAGGGTTTTGATCGATTTGGAATTTTGGTCGGTTGCTGAGATAAGTAAAGAACTTATAAATGAAGTAATCAATTGATTATTGACAAGTGTTAGGCTTGAAATTGGATGGCTTTAGTTACTACTGAGTGCTAACAGAGTAGCCAGATACAAAAAAATTGCCCTTTTAATTTTCTCAGCAACCAAACGGAAAATAAACATTCATGATGCTCATATCTCATGAACTTTATGATTCAATTTAGTAAACCAGTATTTGGGATTAAATCAGGCGCAAGAAATTTAGGTTCTATTTGGTGGTCAGTTTTTGCTATTTGCTTAGGGTCATAACATAGATTGATCAAGTGTTTGATGATTAGAATTCTTTTTTTTTTTTGTTGCAATCGCCTTTATGGTTTATTGTTTAATGGGGTTAATGTTTGGTAATTTGTTACCTGTAATTTACGTGGTATGATCAGTCTGTTGAAAGGATTATATGTTCTAGTTTTAGCTTTGAATACAGCTGGAGTTCCGGTTGGAAATGCATTTTCTTACCGATTTTGAAGTGTAAGTTTGGGACCAATGAGGTTTAGCAGGAAAGGAATTAGAATGTGGGGACGTCTCTTATGTATTTTTGTTGCAAGGGTTTTTGCTAAATTTAGTTTATATTTGAAAATCTCTCCCATGTGGTTTTTCTGTTTATCTACTCCTTGCATGTCATCATTATGGCTGTTCGCGTCTACGTCATCATGATGTCAGCACCTCAGTGGGCATGCGTTCTGTATTGCTATTCCATTGTTACTGCTGCTATTTCTAGCTCCTGAGCTGTCGAATAGATTTAGTAGACCGGCTTGGTTGAGACTTGAGATGAAGGAAATATAGAGATATTAAGGTGTTAGTTTGCAGACAATCATATTGAAGCATTTATTTGATAAATCCTGGAACAACCAGTTCTGTTCCACTCTTCATGTCTCTGGGTGCGTATTTTGTAACAAACTGATCAGGATATTATGTTGTCTTCTTCCTCTCGTTGTCTGATGCTGCTCTCTTAGGTGTTGGTGCTTGGACAATTTTTTTAAGTCTCTTACAGAATTTAATTCTTTATTCTTTGCTCACAGTTTTTTGGGTGTAAATTGTGGAAGCTTATCTGGGAATCTAATTATCTTGTTTGGGTGAAAGAAGTTTTTACAACTTTGATCTTATGAAAGGGCATTCTACTTCTTTCTTGAAATTTTCTTATTGTTATGGTCTTGCATCTTTTGTATATGCTTATAATCTGCTATGGTGGGGCTAGCTTGCTATGCTCATCAGTTTTTCACTAGGTTGAAGGTACATTTTCTTTTTGTGGTGAAATGATGCCGTAGGCTTGCTAAAGTGGTTAAACTATGCCAAAGTGGGAAGCTTGTGCTATAAGCAGATAATCCATGGGCTTCTTGGAGCTACGAAATCTTTTGCTTGATTATGGTTTGATAGGGAAATTGATGGGGCAAGTTCATTGGCATCAACAACATGATCAATGGTGGTATAGTTTGAGCTGAAGGTATGATTACATTGTTTATCTTTTTCTCCCTAGTTGCTAACTATGTATGGTTGCAGTATACCACAGATCTAAGTTATTCTCATTCCATTGGATCTCTTTCCTATCGGGTCTCTATGATTTGTAGCTTGAAAATTCACCATTGAGTTTAACATTGGACCTTGTAACAGAAATGACATATAACCATAATGATAGCCTGGTGCAAAAAGAAAGGAACAGAAACTGTATTCTCTTTTTCCAAATCCTTGTTGACTATCTTTACTAGGATCCACATCTGTCACATTCATCGGAGAAGTCTAATGTGTGCCTGAAAATTAGCTTTTTTTTTAAGGAAATGCTATTCTTGTCTGAGTTGACATTGCTCATTTGATTGGGTCCAGTCTCCATGATTAAGTTTTTAGATATTTTAATTTTATTCAATACTTAGTCCAAGCAGAACAGTTAGATACAGTTGATTTTCTTAGAGGCTTTATCTGATACTCTTATTATATTTTTAGCAATATATTCATTGTATTAGAAAGTAGGCTTTTCCCTTGTTGTGATGTTTACCATTTATTCCTCCTAGTTTCTGAGCATATATGTATCAGATCCTTGTACAGTTTTTTTGCTTTTTAGGTTTGTTTTTCTTACAAATTGTTGCTGCAATAAACTGGGTTGTAGCGTACTTTTGATTCTTATGATGCTTGATACAGGATTTCCTGTCTTGTTGACCTCTAAATTTTATTCATAGAGATGTTACCTTCTTGCGTTGTTGCAGTTTGAATGTTGCTTTCAGTTTGTTTTCCAGATGGAAGAAGTTTGTCTCAATAGTGAGCCAGTCTTTGATGAGGTTGATGAGTACGAGGGTGAGGGAGACTGCAGTGTGGTGGAACATGATGAAACTTGTGCAAAACTTTCAAAGAAAGAACCACTTCCACCTACTGTTGGTTTGGAGTTTGATTCTTTTGATGAAGCTTATGACTTCTACAATGTCTTTGCTAAGGAACAAGGTTTTGGCATCAGAGTTAGCAATTCGTGGTTTAGATCCAAAAGGAAGGAGCGTTATAGAGCAAAACTTAGCTGTAGTAGTGCAGGCTTTAAGAAAAAGAGCGAAGCCAACAATCCAAGACCAGAAACAAGAACTGGTTGCCCCGCAATGGTAGTCATTAAGCTTGTGGACTCTAAAAGGTGGAGAATAGTTGAAGTTGAGCTTGACCACAATCACCAGGTGAGTCCACAGATCAAAAGATTTTACAAGTCTCATAAGAAAATGATTCTTGCAGCCAGAAAGGCACAACCACCAGCAGAACCTGTTACAGAAATACATACTATCAAGATGTATCGAACAGCTGCTTTGGATGCTGGGTCTAATGGTTACCCAAATGTTTCTGAAAGAGAGGGTATACATCCAGCTGATCACTCTAACCATCTGGAACTTAAAGAGGGAGATGCTTATGCCGTTTATAATTACTTCTGTCGCATGAAGTTAACTAATCCAAACTTCTTTTACTTGATGGATTTTGATGATGATGGTCGTCTGAAGAATGTATTTTGGGCTGATGCTAGGTCCAGGACTGCATGTGCTTACTTTTGTGACACTATCGTGATTGATACAACATGCTTGGCAAGCAAATATGAAATTCCTTTGATTTCTTTTGTTGGAGTGAACCATCATGGACAATCTGTGTTGTTGGGGTGTGGCTTCCTCGGACATGAGTCAGTAGAGTACTTTGTCTGGATCTTTAGAGCATGGCTTAAATGCATGCTAGGGCACCCCCCACAAGTTATTGTTACTGATCAGTGCAAACCCTTGCAAATTGCTGTCTCTGAGGTTTTCCCTAAGGCTCATCATTGTTATTGTGTGTGGTATATCATGCACAGAGTTCCAGAGAAGTTGGGGGGTTTGAAAGGATTTGAAGCAATTAAAAGACAGTTAAATAAAGCTGTCTATAACTCCCTGAGGATAGTTGAGTTTGAAACTTCTTGGGCCGAAGTGATCAAGCAGCATGGACTTGGGGATAACAAATGGCTCCAAACATTGTATGAAGACAGGAAACAATGGGTTCCAGTGTACTTAAAGGACACATTTTTTGCTGGAACGATTCCTATCCAAGAAAATGAGAGCTTGAATGCATTTTTTGATGGTTATGTACATAAGCATACATCTTTTAAGGAATTTGTTGATAAGTATGATTTAGCTCTGCACCGGAAGCACCTGAAAGAAGCCATGGCGGATATGCAGTCAAGAAACTCATGCTTTGAATTGAAAACAAGATGTAATTTTGAGGTACAGCTCTCTAAAGTATATACAAAAGAAATCTTTAATAAGTTTCAATCTGAAGTTGAGGGGATGTACTCTTGCTTTAACACAAGGCAGGTGAGTATAAATGGGCCAATAATAACTTACATCGTTAAAGAAAGAGTCGAAATTGAAGGAAATGAGAAGGAGGTTAGGAATTATGAGGTTTTGTTTGAGACTAGTCAGGTGGATATCCGATGCATATGCAGTTTGTTCAACTACAAAGGTTATTTATGCAGGCATGCATTGAATGTTCTTAATTATAATGGAGTGGAAGAAATCCCCTCACGCTATATACTGCCTCGGTGGTGTAAAGATTTCAAGTACAGGCATGTTGATCGAGGCTCCTGTGACATCAATGTGTATAACCCAGTTTATTGGCATAATCACTTGCATAAGTATGCAATTCCAGTTGTGGAAGGAGGAGCACAATCCCAGGAACACTATAAGATTGCACTGCATGAATTGCAGGAATTATTGAACAGATTTAATCTTGTAGAGGACAGCTTAGTGTAGCAGAATATATCAAAAACCCGAATCCAATGTTTTAATTACCTAGAAATACAAGGCTTTTGTTGTACTTACAAATTAGATGTGTTTAGAAAGAACTCAATAATTCCTTGGGACTGATTTTTCGTAAGCAGTTGGATTGTTGGTCCTCCCATGGAAATGAATGTTAAACCCTCATGTTGCCTGAGTTAAATTGACTGTTTCATGTTCTTCCAGAGTACCCTTATGGCTATCTCATTGTAGATTCTAAAATTTGGCATTTTTGTTTCGAATTTGATCATGTTTACGTTCTTACAATCTAAGAGATTTTGGTGAGCTCCAATGATGTTCATACACGAACAGCTTGCCACACTGGTACAATGCTGTTTGCATAACTAAACCAACTCTATAGTATACAAAATAGGAGTAGCAATGAAGACAAAAAAAGAAGACTTCCCACAAAAATTACAGTCCTGGATAAATTTTGCGTCATCAAGTCATGTCTTCAAACGACAAAACACCATGAACCGGTTCCAAGTTCCACAAAAGAACATGGTCACACAAGCGCAGCACGAAAGTTCTAGCTCTTCACATTGAATAAAAAAACAGTAAATACAACTCATTGCAGAGGAAGTTGAAACAGAAACATCCCATATACCCCCTAGCAGGGATTAAAAGACAATCAAACAAAAATGGAAACATAAGGAAAAGGGGCATGAGAGTGGGGAAGGTGTTCAAATCTCAAACTGTTGACCTCATTTTAGGCAGGAAGGTAGCGTGATCCCGTGACAAACAAAAGCCAGCACAACATAAACAATAATTAGGAGGAGGATTATCAGAGCAACCCTGCAATGTGGAAAGCAAGTTAATGAGTAATAAATTCATCCATCCTGGTATCTCTCCTATTTCAAGGACCTATTTCCCATGGAGAGCTAACTATTTTGAACAATGGAAATTATGCTCCTCTTTAATAGTAAATTTCACTTCCAAATTTAATGAAGTGCATGTAAACATGCAAAAAATGGGGTTGAAGTTCAGAAAGCATACGTAAGCTTGACATTCCTCCACCATACTGTGTTTCTAAAACGGCGAGCTTGCTTTCTGAAGCGAAAGGTATTTCCTTGCATGTTAGCAGTTTTGTCAACCAGCAATTCTAAGCGGTCACCTCTCTCTAAAACTTTGTCGATATTCTCTATCATAACGTTTCGCACCTATTAGAGTACAAGAACAACATTAGACCACAGTCCAAAAACCAAAAAACCACAGCAAGTTGAATGCCCTTGAGTGAAAAGGCCGTAACTGCAGGCGATAATTAAAGGTAACATGTTAAATGGTCGATAATAGATCAAAACTTTTTATTTTATGCAAGCAAAACAGCAAAATAATTCATCTTCAAAGTAGGTACAAGCTCATCCTTATGCATTCATATAGAATAGAAGAATCTAGAAGTATTAGAATAGTAGAATCTATAATCTGATTACATGCACTCAAAACCTACCTGACTCATTTCACCTTTTACTCGATTTATCCTATCGGCATTAGGGTCACTCGAGTAATATTCCATTTGCTGGCTCAAAACCCTTGAAAATTCATCATTCATGCCATAAGGGAGGGCTGAAAATACTGCTCGGCCATAAGTCCTCACAAATCTCTGATGAATGTCTTCAAGAAACGTAAAAGGAATACGCCCTGCAAAAGATACAATAGACACATCCCACCTTAGTAACCAATAAAGTTGTCATCAGCAGCAACATTTGGACCAAAAAATTCTTAGACAACAAAGACATATGCAAAGCAATCGCAAACCACATGGATACTGTAGCTATAAATTCTGAATTTAATTAGTGAAAAAAGTAGCAGAATGTTACTGAAGAACATAAATACTGTCGTCTCCAACTCAACACACACTAGAAGGGAAGTAATGATTCAAAACCAGAAGGCGACTGATGATTTCTCGGAACATTGCATCTATTGCTACTGTTGAAGAAATAACATGATCATTACCAAAAGTAATCGCTTTTACCATTTCCCCATTCTATGAATTAAAATTGCATTTTTGAACTTTTTAATCAAACCCGCGATTGTCAACTAAGCATAAAACTTCAACTTTCTTCTCAATCGCCTACTTTAATCTCGAATTTCCTTTTAATTCAGAAATCAATACTTAACAAAGCAATTGAAATTGAAAAGCCTATCGCGTCAATCAAATATAAGTTCGCTTTCGAAAACGGAAAAGAAAAGGAAAACTTATTCTGAGTGAGATAAATTGGCTTACTTCCGGCGGACTCGTCGGCCATACAAAGAACGGTGAGGCCATCGGTGCGTTTGACGTGGAAGATATATCGATCTTGCGAATACGAAGCATGCGTGTCGTTATTCCCAGGTATTTTCTCTAGAATTTGCCTGGCGATTGCGCTGGCGTTCGTCGACGCCGCCGTAAACTCCGCCAGCACCACCGATCCTCGCGCCACCAGCGCGTATAGTATCGCCATCTTAATTCCAACCTCCCTTCTCTCCCTCTCTAGATCGCTTCCACCGATGTATATAAAAGATAGCCTCTTTCAGCTACCTTTTCGCTTCCCACCTCAGAAATTCCCTTCTCCCGATCAAAAAGACAGAGCTGGATCGCAATTAGATAATTCAAATAAACACATGCTCCCCCTTCTCCTTCTCTCTCCAATTTTTCAGCAGTAAATTACTAATCTTTTGATTATGGAGTTAAGAATTTTAGATTAATCAGCTGAAATATTAATAGATAAAACTGTTAAAAAAATTATTACCACAAGTACTCGGGAAAAAAGCCAAAAGGTTTAAAATTGAAGCTGAAAATTTGCCGGAAAGGTTAAATTAAAGTAGATCATGGTACAGTGAAGGAAGGGGAAAGAGGACCGATTCGCTTTTTCTTTGGGATAGGAATTAGGAAGGAAAGAAGGCTCCTTAGCGTTTTCTTCTCGACCTTATTCTTTGGTCCGAAAAAGGACAATTAGAAACATCCGGCTGTCTGGTTTGGGGCTTTATCCATTAATCGCGAGTTGGTTTTCTGTCGGCTAAAGGAAATTTAGGTAAAAGCAAATTCTTGTATTAAATATTTTGATGAATAATCATAAATAATTATTAATTATAAAAATTTATTTTATTTAAAATATAATATAAAATTTAACTGAATATAATAAAATAATAATAAATTTATTTGAATATTTATCAATAATTCATGAATTTGTTTAGGTAGTATTTTTTTTATTATTAAGGGAAGGATGATTTGATTTTTATTTTTTAAATAATGGATAGTGTATCAATCAATGAATTAAATGGTCAAGTACTTTTAAGCAATATTTTTATTTTTATTTTTTATTTTTAAATGTTTGTTTTTTTCTTATTTTTATGAACTTAAAGATAAAAATTTTGATTTTGATATGTTTTATATTAAAATTTTGAAAGGTTTTATAAATTTAAATGTCCAATATCTTTTAATAATTTTTTAAAAGAATTATGAAAATAAAATTTTAATATGAAAAAAGTAAAAGTATTAAATATTTTAAAAAATGAGAAAAAATCATTGTTCACACATTTTGAAAGAAAAAAAAAAGAAAATGTAAGGGAAGGAATAATACCATTAAATAATTATGAAACAAAACTTTTGATGTAAGCATAGAAAAATGACAGGCAGGGGACCTGCCTTGGAGGTTTCGGTTGGAATTTGGAGGCCACATGAAGAATTGATAGGCCTGAATAAAGGGTGGGTTGGTGGGCGGGCTTCCATTCGGTTGCCTTCTCCCACAGTAACTTGTCTCTGTCCATCAATTTGAAAAGATAGGACAAGCTTGGGCCTTGCCAGGCTAATGGAAATGGTCCAACCATATGTGGCTTATGTGGGGGGCCAGGGTGAACTGAAAAAGAAGACCACCCTCGCAAATGGGCCTTGGCATGTTCTTTTCATCGTAAGCTACAAGCAAACTTCATTTTCAATTAGAAGATCAAACATCAAAAAATCTATCAATCAGCCCCTTTTGGAATTTGGTCATCTCATAAAATTAACAAAAAAAACTTTTTTTTTCTTTTATATTATCTAAAAGGATTCAAACTTATTTTTCTTATATTAAAAGATAATATATCAATTAATAAATTAAATATTCGGATGTTTATATTTATTTAATTAAATATTTATTTTTTATTTTATCTCATAAAATATTTAGTTTATAATATAAATATAACGATCGTTTAACGGTTATTTATTATGTATGTAGACTTTGGCAAGACATACCGACTCACTATAATAAGAAATAAAAACAAAAATACGATAAAAATGTAAAACTTTCGCCAAATTAAAACAAGTACAATTCAAGGCTTTTTTTTTTTACTTTAATCAGTTAAAGAAAAAAGAGAAAACGACTTTGCATAGAGCAACCTCACTGAAGTGCCAAAGGCCATGTGAAGCTTTTTTCCTTTTCCTGCCTATCCTTTTTTTTCCCAATAATGTTTTGGGATTTTCCTTTTTGTAGATAAGAAATTCATAGTTCATATAAGATGTTCATCTCTAGTGCCTATGGTCCTACATAGCTAGACCAAACTTTGGACAAAAATATCGTGATTACTGGCTCACAATTTGTCAAAACATAGCCACCCGAATCCACCTTATTCTCATCTATATATTCACCACAATATCTACTGTTGGAATATTTCTACATGCAGGAATAGTTAGATATACACAATTTACTCACATGAGAGAGTTTAATTCTATATATTGGCTCATAAGATAATTAATTAATAATTATTAAATGAGCGCTTAACGTATTTGTTTTCTTAATTTTTATAGAAAAAAAATTATATTTTAAGATGGGATCATCGAATAATTTAGAGAAAGAATTACACTGGGATTGTATTAGTTACAATTAATATTAAACTAAGTGCAAAGATAAGGGTGAAGGGGTAGTCCTCTATATGCGTGTAGCATCTAAAACAGGGCTTCGCGTTTCAATCATGGAAGAGGACGACCACCCACACCATTTCAATCAACATCGCTTGGTCCGGCAATTGGATTTGCTAGCATGTGCTCTGAGCTGCATACAACACCCTTATCGCTATCAATTATTGAAAAATGAATCAATACTGGACAAAACTCAAGACAAGTAGACAAAAACGAATTCATGTTTATTGTCTCAACCCCAAGAGCTGGAATCCATTTTGGTGAAACTTACAGTGCCCTTGAGCTTGCCCAGCCCCAAGCTTTTGCCAGGTTACCGGCCAAGCAACTTGTCCAAATAACCATCACCAATTCTCCCATTTGTATAACCAGCTTGTGCAATACGAAACTCAAATGTTTAGTGGAGCTGAGGAAAGTTCTCTGTGTATACTTTCAGAAAAATAAACTCTTTTTGTTGATTTTTTTTTAATTAAGTTTGGAGTTGATAGATCATAGATATTTTAAGTTTGGTGATAGTATGAATTATAAATAAATGTTTGTTTTGATTATGGGAATGCTTTGGTCGATTATTTTAATTAACGGATATTTTTTTAATACGTAAAGATATTAGTATAAGATCTGTTATGTGATATTATTAACACTTTTTTTGATCGAGGAAAGAAAAATTGAGAGAAAGGGGAGCTTATAATTTACACTAGATGAATAATTGAATACCCCTTTCTTGTCCAAAATTATATATTTATGAGCATGGTTTTGATGGAGAGGCAAGGGTGAAGTCAAGTTTATGGGGCCATGACTGCATAATTTTGTTATTGAGTGAGCCTCCCATAACTGCTTTGATAGTATTGAGAAACAATAAGGAAAGAGATCATACAACTTTCCTGCCCAGAAGCTTACAAAAATCCAACTACTACATTATCATCCATTTTCACTCTCTTCCACTCAATCAGACTCCCAACAGCCACCTCACAAATTTCCTTTAAAAACGCTGCTTCTGGTTCTAGGAAGGCACCCCAACTCCTTCGAATATCTCCAGTCACTAAGCAACTGTAGAAAGCAGCTGTTGCCATGGCTTCCAAGCAAATCTGTGCCCTCTTTTTAGTGTTCTCTCTTCTTCTCCACTCAACAGTCACCAGCGCCTGCAATTCATGCAAACCCAAGCCCACACCCAGTCCTCCTCCACCAGCATGCCCTCCACCACCATCTTGCCCCAAGGATACTTTGAAGCTAGGTGTCTGCACTGACCTGCTTGGACTTGTCAACATAGTGGTGGGATCACCTCCTTCAAGCAAATGCTGCGCTTTGCTCTCGGGCTTGGCTAATTTGGAGGCTGCCCTTTGCCTTTGCACTGCCATTAAAGCCAATGTACTTGGAATTAACCTCAACATCCCCGTTTCTCTTAGCTTAATCCTTAGTGCATGTCAGATGACGGTTCCTCCAGGCTTCAAGTGTGAATAAGAAGCCCCAAAGTTCCCAGGCTAAGTTTGCTCATGTACTTTGACTTGTCAGAATATCATCATGCCATTGGTGTTGGAAAATTCACTAATGTGCTTGAATTTGTTGCTTTGATTAGTATGTTTTGAAGTTGGAAACAAGGTTTCTTTTCTTTTTTGCTATGGTTTGTGTTTTACATTTTTTAGGGTGTCTTATCCCAAAGACTCTCCCATTATGTGATACTTGTTCAAGTTGAATAACTTGGCCTGTGGGTTCATTTACCTCAGCCTATATGTAATGTTTGATTAATGTTTGTGAATGTGAAGTTGATTTTCTTTATGTTTACTCAATTCAATTTTGGGCACAAGTCTATACATGATAGAAGCAGGAATCCTTTTCCTCTGGGAAAACAGTTGCTGTCCCAAATAGGAAAAAGGCTTGCTTCCAGCTCTTTTAAGGTTGATTTAGCTTGTAATGTTGGAATCAATTTCCCTTATTTGCAAAGCTTGTTTAGCCTCCAGATAATTTTCATGTGGGTAACAATTTTATTTTTACAAAATAAGAAGTTATCAAAATTTAATTGGGACTTTCGACTTTAGATACAGAAATTAACTTTAAAATTTAATTAAGTTTGATTATAACCAAATGAATAAATAATTTTCTTTCTAATATAAATGATTCAACAAGAAATGGAAATTATATAACAATTGTTATTTAATAACGATGAAAATAGAAGGATCAATTATTGATCTTGAAATTGAATTCAAGTCATAAATAAAAATAAAAATTTAAGATGACGTATATATGAATTGAGAATATATATATATATATATATATTATATACAAAATCTTACAATAATTATTCAATCGAGACAACAGATACGCGTCGAGAGTATTAAAGTAAAAGCTAAAGCGGAAGAGAGGTGATGGTTTGGTTTGGGCAAATGGGCGTGACGCCGAGTCCACATGAAAGTACGTCATGGGCTGTGAGCGGTTATACAGTTCAGAGGTACGTCATGGGTTCAGAGCGGTTATATAATTCAAAGCCTCTTTTCCCTCCCCCTCCGTCGCCACCCCCACACGTAGCATCGATTAGCGTAATGCCCGAGGATGCTTTGCTTTCGAAACTGCAACGTATTCAACAAAACACCTCGGGCATCCCTCGTCCCTCCCCCACCCTTGCTTCTGCTTTTGCACCCTTCGTCTCATTGACATTGCAACTGCATTTCCCAATCAGGGAAAACGAGATTTAATTGAAATCTACTTTACCCTTTTCAAAAACAGTAGAAAAGTTTTTGAAAAAAGGAAATGGGGAGCGACCAAAGACGGGACCAAACTGGTTTTCTGGTACTGATGGATGTGGTAGGCTGTCGTTGTAACTTACGGGATATCATTAGTTTAGAGTGGATGGAAGCCTAACATCATCTTCTGTAGCTCTTTTCCATATATAAATGTACATTTTCAGCTTTCACTTCACAATAATTCTGTCTCCTGCGCCTTTTTCCTTGTTTTCTCCCCCACAACTGCACTGCACCCTCCTTTTTCTTTCTATCTCTATCCTCCCTCAATCTGTTCGGGAAAATGAGATGGCGGTGATGGTGATCAGATGCACGCATGCAGCCGAGGTTCTCTTTGTGATTTTCCACAGCTTTCTTGAACTGTGTCGAGAAAACCTGCATTCCCATGCAATGGTATATATACAACATTCTGCACCTGGAAAACACAGTTCATGAGAGCTGTGGAAAATTACTGAGAGGATCTTCTTTTGATGAACCCTCGATGGAGCTAGTTAAAGGAAAACGGTTTCCACTTTCAACTCACTGTAGTAATTAATTAACGTTTGTTGGCATTTCCTTTTCCTTGTGTGCATGCAGGTGGTTTCAAGATTTCACATCAACAGTCAATGGATTTCAGGAAAAGGGTTAGCGGCCGACAGACTTTGGTTCAATCTGTTTTTCATATTTTTTTTGGCTGAATAATTATTAGTTTCATGGTTCTTCCATACCATTTTGCATCTGAACTGATAATATATTCATATCCTCTTCTTGTTCCAGAGATTAATTAATTAGAATCTTCATTTCATGCCTGCAATTCCAGAATGTGTACAAACAACACAGCTTCTATTGCTATCATTTCTTTCTCTTTTTCTCTGCAATAACAGCTCGGAAAATCCATCAGCTGTTGCCTTGCATCTTGTTACCTTTTTCCCAGACCTTTACTTTGTTTGGGTTTGCAGAAAATATATCAAGAAATTAAAAATTAATAATAAAAGACTTGAATTGTATTTATTTGGATGTATAATATAGTACCAACAATTTTTTAAAGCCATCGTCCTTCAAAATTTTCCTATATTTGAACCAAATCCTTTATAGAGATACGCAGGATCGAAGAAATTAATGACGAAGGCAAAGGGTGGCTGAGAAGAGGACTTTTGCATATGAATAAGCAAGCTTGCCCCTGGGCTTGATTTTCTCTTGGTGCATTACCTCACCTCAATGCAAAGATATATGGTACCCCCATCCATTTCTAAATTTACTATATATACAATTAAGTCATTAGATTCAATGTCAATTGATCTTTTTTATCGACATATGACATATGATATAATAAATACATTTAATCAAGTTAAAATTTAACCGTAATTAATTTTTATTAAAATAAAAGTTTATTTAAGTATAAATTAAAAGTTAAAAACTCATTAAAATAGAGATTGTTTTACTGTTTGAGCCTTTCTAAGGATGTTGAGGTAATTAGTTTTGTAAAATGAGGAAGTCCTTTTGGCTTCAAGGGTGAGGAGACATGCGAGGGTGTTGATGTCTTGTCTTTGATAAAGGCACTGAGGTATCTATCTGCCCTCAATCCTCTCTCCGCATGGACATGCCTCAAACAAGCGTGATCTTTACGATTTACCTGTCTCGAGCTCTTGACACACCCCACCAATTGCTTCACTGTCATGACTTAATCTCTCTCTTTCAAGCCGATGAGAGATCAGGACACATCGTCCTTTTGGCTGTACAGATGATGTCCTTTCTCTCACAGTCATTCGACCAGGTTACATGATTTCCTCTCCGAATCAACACATTCAATTTTCCAGGATTGATAGTTGACCATTGCCATAAAACCTGTTCAATCCGCCACCTATCTAGGACTTGAATTTTGACATCCCAACATCATTTTGTTAAGAAAAAATCAATTGATAGGATCCCATTGTGGGTAGTACTACATAATTTTTCCCTTTACGATTTCTGCTGAGGAGGAAAGAGAGCTTGTGAAGCATATGTAGAGCTTCTTAAAACACTAATCATTTTAGTTATCAAGTAGTCATACTAAACCTATAACATATCTTGCATTCAATGACAAATGGAAATCTGCTCTAAAGATGTGTTGAATTTGCCATCTTTTCATATGAATTCTTGAACTTTCAATAATATGAAACAAACTTCTTCAACCTCCATGGAGCATTGTGAAAGTTCAAATTCCACTTAATTGTATTTAAATAGTCATTGTCAATCAATAAACAATGAGAGTTTTGTTCATTTAGAGGCGGTAAAAATAACAAAAACTTCTTTAATTTCAAGTGATTTTGCAAAATTCCAATCACCTTATTCCTAATGTACCTTAATTGATTAAACATAATCACATATACATATATATATATATATATATATATTCATGATTCAACCATTAAAATTATGGCACATGATGGGTTCATATATATAACCATCAAGAAACTTACAAACTTTTTCAAAGTCCTATTTTGTTCTTTTCTTTGAGAAACAAAAACCATCATCAACTGAGGTGGAACCATATACGTCAGATTTTTGGGTTTATTCACATGAACCAATGTGTGTATATATATATATATATATATAATCTTTTAATAAAATACAAAAAATTTCCTTAATAAAGAAAAGGGCCCAAAAAATAAAACAAACCAACCCATCCCATTCCAGGTTGAAAGCCTAAATTTGCTTGAGTAAGCCCAAAATACTGGACCACCAACCCTTGAGAGTCCAGGAATCCTCATTCTGGGCCTTATTAGGTCAAGTAAGAAACTTAGGCCCATTAGGCCCATGTTGGAGGCCCATGTTGGAGGTCCCTGAACAGAACCAGGAAAAGGATCAAACCTTTTTGGAACTCAAAACCCGGGAAAAAGCAAAGGCCAGCATCTGTTTTTTTCCATTGTTGCCGTGAAGGTGAATGCAAGCCCAGAACAAGACAGTTAGGTAACTCCGTTCTTTATTACCCCAAAAACAAAATAATAATAATAATAATAAAGGGGAAAAAAAAAAAAGTTGGGGGGCGAGAAGTGCGATGGAATTTTTGGCATCGAGGACTTAAGAGAAGACCCGAGAAAGAGACAGACGTCGAAGCAGGAGGGAGGTCAGGTGGACGCACCACGCTCACGGCTCAAGCTAGCCAACTTTCTTCCCTTTTTCTTCTTCTCTATGTTATAATGAGCCGTTTTTTTTTTCTTAGTTTTGATTTAATTTAAAGTGAAATTCTTATGGCCTACACCTGTTTTGGCGCTTTGCTGCAGTTGTCTACTTTTCCCTCCCTCGATCCGATAACCTAAAACCCTAAAGCTGTTTCCTTCTCTGATATTTCGATAGCGGGGAGACTTTGTTTAATGTTCAATTTCGATTCGATAAGAGAGGTCAAGAGAGAGATCGGCGTCGTTTTGTAGGGAGGAAACGATGATGCAGAGACGGAGTCCACCGAAGCACAGGCACGACGGGACTTCGCCACTGCCTCTCGGGATGGATTGGAGTCCGCCTCCTCGTAAATGGGTAAGTTCTCCTTCTATTTATTTATTTGAAATTAGTTTGGAATCTGAATTTGCACTCTATTTTGGAGATTTTAAGAGTTTGCTTCATGGAATTCTAGGATTTAAGCAATAACTAGTTTCTTTTTGAGTGAGTTTATGGTGGATCAAGATATGTATGAAAAAAAAAGGCGATCAATTTGGCAAAGATGAGATTAGACTTGATTGCTAGATTGTTTCAGTGACTTAGATAGTTACTCATCTTAATCTTAATCAAAATTGACAGGTCATTTATTGCTTTTACATGCATATAATATATATATATATATATTTTAAATCAGCTTTTAAATGCAATAATCTAGTGAAGTTTAGAATTTTAAGTTATTTTGGTTCCCATGTCTTGAAGTGCTTTGTTCATATGAGACCTCATGAGCTGGATTTTAAGCTTTTACAGGGTTCCCATTGGTCCAGGAGGTTATATTGTACATTTTTTTTTTGGCTGAAATTGTGATAGTAGTTTAATTGATCATAATGATCAGAGAACTCAATCAAGAATCTGAGACATCATCTAAAATTGAGGACCAT